ACAGCAGGCTAATAATTAAGAAACATTCTGCCTCCTTCAGAGGCTTTGATCTGCAGTGATATGACTCTATATTTCTGTCTGGTTGAGTTTCTAAGCTCTCATTAATGTCCATAAAAATTGGTCAAAATCAAAAGGGCAAAAGGCAAAAGAACAACAACCAAAAACTCACTTACATCTGAAATTTCCTTTTCAATTAATTACGTGATCACTTTCATTATTTGCTTAGTTTTCAACATGATGAAGCTTGGTGTTTTGGACTCTGCTAGAAAGTAGTCAGAAACATATGCTGTTTAGAGCCACCCCACAGCCTGTGCTCAGAGCTCCTGTTTCTAGATTTCTAAGAAAGATCTCTAGGAAAAAAAATTATGCAAAATAAAATTGAATATTTAAATACCTATAGATACACACACCCAAACAGGATTTATCTTTTCTTTTAGATTTTTCCTTCTACTTTTTTATTCTATTAGAAGTCATGAGAATTCAGAGTTTTTCTCACTATGCTATTTTTTAATTTCTGAGATTTGCTGGCAATTCAGGTATAATAGAAACCATATGTTTTGCTTTACTGGGAGCAAAACAGTGTAAGTGGAAATTTTTTTTTTGCCCCCCTCCCCGGAAATTCTAATAATCAGATGTTAGACTTTCTGAATTGATTACCCAGGTTTTGTGTCTTCTATATTGCTTATCTCTTCTAGATTTTTCTTTCACAATTCTTCAATTGAATTCTTTAATTTCCAGGATAGCTCTTTCTTGTTGTGTGAATTGTCTTTAAATTTTTTTCGTTTGCTTTTTTGAGACAGAGTCTTGCTCTGTTGCCCAGGCTGGGGTATGGTGGTGCCATCTCGGCTCACTGCAATCTCTGCCTCCCACATTCTGGTAATTCTCTGCCTCAGCCTCCTGAGTAGCTGGGATTACAGGCACCTGCCACCACGCCTGACTAATTTTTGTATTTTTAGTAGAGATGGGGTTTCACCATGTTGGCCAGGCTGGTCTTGAACTCCTGACCTCATGATCCACCCGTCTCATCCTCCCAAAGTGTTGGGATTACAGGCGTGAGCCATCAGTGCCCAGACTTTTTTTTTTTTTTTTTTTTTGCCTTTTGTTCTGGTTTTATGGATTCAATACCTTATCTTTTGTCTTCTGCTTCCTCGTGGTGCTGTTTCCTTCAAGTTCCTTTTGGTTGTAGAAGCATGGTTTCTTCTTTGATTTTGGAGTTTCCTCAGGCACCTCCATGCTTCTTGACTGAACATTCATTCAGTCATTCATTCTACGTGGAAGGCACTGAAACCTGGTTGGAAGTTCCCTGCGAGTGCATGAAACTGGCACCTGGAGGATTGTGCTGTAGATGGCTGGGTGGTTTTTTGATGGAACTTTCAAATGTAGGTTTCAGAAAGTCTTTTCTCTTGAGCTAGTCTATTCAAAAGAGGAATAGCCAACCTAGAGGTTTATATGCTTGTTTTCCTCCATTCTGGAAACAGAGTGCAGGGGGAAGAAGGGAATGAGGGATTCTACAACCCAGACTTTTAGCTAATCCTCTCTTTTGTGCCTTCTGTTCCTGAGCTAGTGGTGGGGTGGAGAAAATAACAACCTATCTTTGAGGAGGGAAAGGCTGGTGCAGGGGGTGGGGCAGGGGCAGGGGGTGGGTCTCACTGCTCTACCTTCAAACAATTTCCATGATTTTCATTCTGCTTTATTCCTCCAACCTTTGAGGTACTTGATTTCTTATAGTTTGAAGTCATTTTTGAGCACTCAGAAAGTTGAATCTCATTGGCATGACCTTATGTAGGAATTTAGGTTGCGATTTTCTTCACTGTCTTTGCCAGGTTGCTTACCACTAATTTTCTTTCCATCTCCCAAAAATGTATAGACATTTCTCAGCTGCCATCTCCTCTCAATCTTTTTTCTTTTCTTTTCTTTTCTTTTTTTCTTTTTTTGGGATGGAGTTTTACACTTGTTGCTCAGGCTGGAGTACAATGGAGCAATTTGGCTCACTACAACCTCTGCCTGCCGGGTTCAAACAATTTTTCTGCCTCAGCCTCCCAAGTAGCTGGGATTACAGGCATGCACTACACGCTCGTTTAATTTTTTTGTATTTTCAGTAGACAGGGTTTCACCATGTTGGTCAGGCTGGTCTTGAACTCCTGACCTCAGGTGATCCGCTTGCCTTAGCCTCCCAAAGTGCTGGGATTACAGGCGTGAACCACCGCAACTGGTGCCCTCCTGGTGCTTATGTAGTTGTGGTCCAAGTATGTCAGTGACAAGGACAGCACAGTAATAAGGACACAGAACCAGCAAGTTCTTCACAGAGTCTGTTAGAACACAAAGTGTTCAAGCACTGCATTCTTTTTTTTTTTTTTTTTTTTTTTTAGATGGAGTGTTGCTCTGTTGCCCAGGATGGAGTTCAATGGCATGGTCTTGGCTCACTGCAACCTCCGCCTCCTGGGTTCAAGCGATTCTCCTGCCTCAGCCTCCCGAGTAGCTGGGAATACAGGTGCCCACCACCATACCTGGCTAATTTTTGTATTTTTAGTAGAGATAGGGTTTTACCATGTTGGCCAGGTTGGTCTCGAACTCCTGACCTTGTGATTTGCTCGCCTTGGCCTCCCAAAGTGCTGGGATTACAGGTGTGAGCCATCATGGCTGGTCTCAAGCACTGCATTCTATTGAAAATCTTTGTTTTCTTTTTCCTTAGGTTAAGCTAAAGTTTGTTGCAGAATTACTACTTCATTCTAGTCTCTTATAAGCTGCACGGTGTTTTTCTGCCACAAATCTGGGGAGATCTAGTGCCACTTGACCTTCACAGAGATTCTTAACCAGATGAGTTTCAGAATGTTATCTTAAATTTGGATGCAAATTGTATGGGTGAGGTTTTTTGTTTTTTTTTTTTCCCTGAAGATAGGGTCATAGGTTTTGTTAGCCTTTCAAAGGAGTTTGTGACCCCAGGATAATTAAGAATCAGTGATTTTTGCTGAATGCTGTGGTTCATACCTGTAATCCCAGCACTTTGGCAGGTAGAGGTAGGTAAAGAAAAGGAAGAAGAATTAGTGACTTAGATTTTCCTCACTTTAATTTGCGTGTGTGTGTGTGTTTCCTCACTTTAATTAAGAACCTTTACCTTTTTCGTTCGTTTGGTTTTGTTTTTTTGAGACAGGGTCCGGCTTTGTCACCCAGGCTGGAGTACAGTGGCTTGATTTTGGCTTACTGCAACATCCAGGTCCTGGGCTCAAGCCATCCTCCCACCTCAGGCTCTCGAGTATCTGAGACTACAGGTGCACACCACTGCACCTTGCTAAGGGGAATTTTATCTTAAAAATATATTTAGGCTGGGTGCAGTGGCTCACACCTGTAATCCCAGCACTTTGGGAGGCTGTCGCAGGCAGATCACGAGGTCAGTAGTTCGAGACCAGCCTGGCCAGCAGGGTGAAACCCCGTCTCTACTAAAAATACCTGAGCATGGTTGTGCCCGCCTGTAGTCCCAGCTACCCGGGAGGCTGAGGCAGGAGAATTGTTTAAAAAAATTTTTTTAAAATGTTTTTTTGAAAACATCCTAATCAGTCTCTAACCTAGAGATGTGCTTAGTTACTGATACCTGGCCCCTGTTAAGCCTCTGTTCTTCATCCTTCTTCTAGATTCTTTTCTCCCTATCCAGAAATAGGAGTAGTACTGGGCATCAACCCCCTCTTTACTTCCCTTATGTATGTTTATTTGGCAACCCCATACTTAACCTTAAGTGTAGGGTTAGGAAACCTTATTTATACTTAATTGTAATAATGTGATATTATTGAACAGAGTTAGAAATCCATACTTCCAAGTATGGATTCTCTCATGTTTTCAGTCAAATTTTCAGTTTGGAATGCTCAAGCCCAAAATGTGTAAAATCAAGTTTAACACACATTTTTTTTTTTTTTTTTTTGAGATGAAGTCTCACTCTGTCACTAGGCTGGAATGCAGTGGTGCGATCTCGGCTCACTGCAACATTCGCCTACCGGATTCAAGTGATTTTCTTGCCTCCGCCTCCTGAGTAGCTGGGACTACAGGTGCCTGCCACCACGCCTGGCTTATTTTTGTATTTTTAGTAAAGATGGGATTTCACCATGTTGGCCAGGATGGCCTCGATCTCTTGACCTTGTGACCCACCCACCTCAGCCTTTCTGGGATTACAAGCATGACCCACCACGCCGGGCCAGTAAACGTTTTCTGTATGTAAAACCTTACACTCTGTTTTGAGGGAAAGAGGAGGGCAGCAGGACATACATATGAGTGAAACCCAGTTCCCACCTTCATTGAGATGGGACATTTTGGAAAATGCAAGAAGTGCTGTGGGAATTCAGAGAGGAAGAGAGTATCTCCTACTGGAAAGTGCAAAAAAAAAAAAAAAACATCCAGAAGACATCATAGTTGGGCAGCACTTCTTATCACTGGCAATGCTGTAAACCCTCCTTTTCCACATCTTAAAAATAAGGTGCTGGGCCTGGGTGCTGACACCTGCTCAGAAAAACTCAAAAAGTAAATGTAAGAGGAAAAATCAGCCTTCGTCATAGAATGAGACAGAAAGAAAGAGTGGAAACAACTAGCATAAGACAAGTTGTATGAGAACATAAAGTAGTAAAGGAGATAAAATATTATTATTTGAATAACTATGAGAAATTTTGAAAACCAGTAGTAATCCAGAATCTTTGTCATCATTGCTATCATATTATTTTAAAATTTGGTTTTAAAGCAATACAAGGCAATATGCATATTTTCCTAAACTTCAAGAAATAGAAAAATTGTTTTGCTAGAAATACATACAGACTGTATGGGCTTTTCTAAAACACAGGTTGAGGGGTGTGTGTATATACTTTTTTTTTCTTACTAATCACGTGTAATCAAGCATCTACCGCTGACATGAGTCATAACTTAAATTTGTGGAGTACTTTTAGATCAGTGCTTACAAAGCATTACAAATCCTGCACAGTACATTAGCATAGGCTAATAATTTTCTTACTCTCTGTTCTTAGGTTGAACCAGCCAAATTTTCAAGACAGCTCACGGCTTAGAGGAAGGCTCATCTAAATAAAGGCTGGCTAAAGTGACATCACAGGGATTTAATCCTTCTCTGGCTGCCTGTGTGACTAGAAGGCTGATTTGCAAGTTTCTTCTTTCCTGGGGTCCAGATTAATAGGTATCCAGGGCTCTGCGACATGGCAGCAAGAGAAGCACGAAATGAAGGTCAGAAATGAGCTCCAGGAGCAGGGACCTGGGGGCCTCCCAGGGGCTTTTACACACCAGAGTGCAAGATTTTCTGGCCATCAAGGGGAATAGCAAACAGAAGCCTTTGTCCTGGGGCACAGCCACCTACCACAAAGCATCAGACTCCACGTGTGGCCAGAAAGTTCCTGGAGTCCCATCAGGGCAGTGGGTATGTAACATGTGCCTAATTGTACAGCTAGAGCTTACAAGTTCAACGTGAGGGAAAGTGGGATATGTCTTGAGTGAGGCGAGCAGCTACTGGCTGGGCTGGGCAGTCTTGGGTACCAGGTTCACTGCCCTCCTCTCACTGAAGCTGACAGGGAGGTTGCCCAGCTCTCAGGAAAACTCTCTTGGACTCTGGGCACCTGCTGTCCTCAGTTGGCATCTCCCACCCACTAAACCTCTTCTGCTCCTCCAAAACCTGTCCTTGATTGGTGGCTCTTTGCTGAGATGGAGACGTGAGTCCCCGTTGACGATGACTGCAGTGTACACGAATGGAGGTGGCCTGGTGAACCCCCACTATGCCCGGTGGGATCGGCGTGACAGCGTAGAAAGTGGCTGTCAGACCGAGAACAGCAAAGAGGGCGAGGAGGGACAGCCCCGCCAGCTGACGCCCTTCGAGAAACTGACACAGGACATGTCCCAGGATGAGAAGGTGGTGAGGGAGATCACGCTGGGGAAACGGATAGGCTTCTACCGAATTCGAGGGGAAATCGGAAGTGGAAACTTCTCCCAAGTGAAGCTCGGGATTCACTCCCTAACCAAAGGTAGGATCTGACTTCCCAAAGGTCATCCCTGGCAGCATTGGGACCTGGCATAGGAGCAGGGTTAGGTGGCCAGGGCCAAGGAAGCAAGTTAAGTGACCTCAGCGGAGCCCCTGCAAGGGCCACATCCCATGCCAGCTGCCTTCTGTGGTCTTCTCAGTTAATTTTCACGGTAACCTTATGAGGTCAATATTTTTTTTCCATTTTGCAGATAGACAAAGTGAGATCCAAAGAAGGTAAATGTGTCTTGAGCAGTTCAATCTTAGATGTTTTTGACTCCAACATCCCTTCCCCTATATCATGTAGATGAAACCCAATCAAACATGAGAAGAATTATCCTCTCCAGTGAGCCCTTTGAGAAGTGGAGTGTGGCTTGAAACCAAGCCACCTCATCTCCAAGGCCCATATTTATAGCTTCCATTTATATTTGTGTCTTAGTGACAATGGCACAGTGTGGCACAGAGCGGCACAGAAGACCTCCCGATGTCCACTGTCTCTCGATAGGAGGGTCCAGTTTTCCTTCCATCCAGAGGCTGCTACTTCTGTCATATTTGAGAAAAAGGGCTTTGATCTCAGGACCCTTTCTGTTCAGTCCTTGCTTCACCCTGTCCTTGCTCTCATTGTTTGGCCCCTCACCATACATTTGCTTGGCTACCGGTCACTTTGGGATTCTGGACTAGCAGCGCCCAGCACTTTTCCTCAAGGAGAAACCGTATGGAGAGCTCAGCACCCCTCTGCTGCTCCGACTCCATTGTGGGCACTTCCCCAAGGTACTTCTAACTTAGCAGAAGTCTGGGGATTATCATAAGGGACTTACAAGATAGAAACAGAACACTTGTGACTTGGCATAACTGACCAAGTCCTAAAACCCATGGACTCTACCATCTCCTGAGAGTCCCTGACTGACGTTTTCTCTGCTTGGACTTGGCCAGCCACCATGTCTCCAAGGCCTCTCTTTTCTTTTATTAGAGCTGTCTTTTGCTTCCTTTTGTTCTCTAACCCCGAATCCCATGCCCCCTCCAATCCCTGTGCTTGGCCTTCATAGAAAAATCTCCACACACATGCGTGCATACATGTACTCCCCCCGCACACCCACCCTACACTCCCACGTCACTAGAGTTTCACTTCTTCTCTACTCTTGCTCTGAAGCCTGTGTATCTGGGTTCATGTCTTCACATCTTAGCTACTCTACTTACTCATCTGGGTAAATTAAAGTGCTTGTCTGAGCCTTAGATACTTTATTTCTAAAATGCAAACAGTAATGGTGCTTACTTCATAGGGTATCATAAGGGTTAATACTTGCTCAACAAATGTTAGTTAGTGGCATTATTTTGCAGTTGCTTAATGAGCCTTGCCTTTGTACAACCAAAGATCAACTAAAGTATCTTTATCAGAAGTTCATTCCTGCCCATCCCAATACACAAATTGAGATCAGTTAGGCTGCCATTCCCCTACAGCCATAATTTTCAACTGACTGCGCAGTAGAATTACCTGGGAAGGTTTAAAAGAGAATTAGTGCCCAGAACCCACCCTCAGAGCTTCTTATGTGATTGGTCTAGAGTGGGACTGGGCATGGGTAGTATTTAAAAACTCTCCAGGTGGTTTTTTTTTTTTTTGAGACAGAGTCACACTCTGTTGTACAGGCTGGGGTGCAATGGAAAGATCTCGGCTCACTGCAACCTCTGCCTCCTGGGTTCAAGCAATTCTCCTGCCTCAGCCTCCCGAGTAGTTGGGATTATAGGTGGGCGCCACCACATCTGGCTATTTTTTTGTATTTTTAGTAGAGATGGGGTTTCACCATGTTGGCCAGGCTGATCTCGAATGACTGACCTCGTGATCCACCTGCCTAAACCTCCCAAAATGCTGGGATTACACGCGCGAGCCACCACGCCCGGCCCTAGGTGATTCTAATTGACATGTAGCACTAAGAAATACATCCCTACAGCAACTTGCACATACTGCAGACAGCTTTTAAAATAGTGCTTTCTTTGGTGTGGGCCACAAGTGGATAATCCAGGTACCATTTGTACTTTAAAATCAATTATGAAATACTGTGTCAGGTTTTCATGCTACATTTAACTTTCAAATTTCATTTATTTGAAATAGTATTCATTTATTATTCATTTAGGTGAACAATAGAAGCACTATATTAGGCCTTCGGGGATATAAAGATGAAATAGATACAGCCTTCATCCTCAAGGACAAGGGAAGAGAAGACATGTACAAATAAGTATAATACAAACCAGAATTTGAAAAACATAGAAGAGGAAAGCTATGTGCTTAAAGGAAGGAAAGAGACTCTTCCACCTTAGGAATACTGTAGAAGGTTTTAAGTGAAGATTGAATTTCAGCTACACCTCAAGGGGGTATAAGATTTTGGATAGGCGGTGATTATAGGACAGAGGCGGGTTGGGGGTTAGAGGAGAGCATGAACAAAAGCATTCATGTGGGGAAATGGTATATAGTACAGTTACCCTAACAGTAGGATTAGGGTAAAGGGCTGGGAACCTTAGCTGATACTGAATCACAGGGGACTTTGAACATTATCCAAGGATTTTGGATTATTTTCCTTTTTGTTTTTTTTTTGAAACAGAGTTTTTCACTCTTGTTGCCCAGGCTGGAGTGCAGTGGCACGCTCAGCTCACTGCAACCTCTGTCTCCCGGGTTCAAGAGATTCTCCTGCCTTAGCATCCTGAATAGCTGGGATTAGAGGTATGCACCACCACACTCAGCTAATTTTTGTATTTTTAGTAGAGACAGGGTTTCACCACATTGGCCATTCTGGTCTCAAACTCCTGACCTCAAGTGATCTGCCCACCTTGGCCTCCCAAAGTGCTGGGATTACAGGTTTGAGCACTGAGACTGGTCCAGGATTTTGGATTGTTTTTCTCATAATGACGACTCTTTAAAATTTTTATTATTAGAATTGGACTTCTGGAAGATTAACCCTATAGTGGTGAGGATGAAGGTTGAAGAGCAAGAGATGCAGGAGACAGGGAGCTATCCGGAATCCATGGTGATGGTCCAGCCAAGGGAAGAATATCCTGAGCTAGGTGGATGGCAGTGAAAATAGAAAAGAGAAGCTGGTGACGCCAAAGAGAAGAATCTGGAGGACTGGCGTGTTAGTCAGTGTTTTCCAGAGAAACAGCACCAATAGAAAAGAGAGAGAGAGAGAGAGAGAGAGAGAGACAAGGAATTGGCTCACACAATTATGGAGACTGCCCCAAGATTCACAGTCAGCAAGCTGGAGGCCCAGGGGTAAGTTCCAGTCTGAAAGCCAACAGGCTCATGACCCAAGAAGAGCCACGTCCAGCTTCAGTCTGAAGGCCAAAAAAGACCAATGTCCCAGGTAAAGGCAGTCAGGCAGAAGCAGTTCCCATTTACTCAGTCTTTTTGTTCTATTCAGGTCTTCAACTGAGAAAACACCCACACAGATACACCCAGAATAATGTTTAACCAAATGTCTGGGCACTACGTGGTCCAGTTAAGTTGACACATAAAATTAGCCATCACGGTTGGTAACTGATTGGATGTAGCACTGAAGATGGAAGGATGGAAGAAGGCGATGACCTTGCTTTAGTTGACTGTGTGAATCAAAACAAGGGTGATGCCTTTAATAGGAATAGGGAAATATGGAGAAAAAGCAGATGTGGGAGGAAAAACAATGAGTGAAAACACTGACATCTAGAAGGAGCTGTCTACTGGGCAGTTGCATGCTTCAGTCATGGGCATGGGCATGAGGTCAGACCAGAGTTTGCATCGAGGTGATTGTGGAAATGGATGCAGTCACTGAGGAGGACTGTGGAGAAGGGTGATGAGCAACTTTTTTCGCCTGAATAACTAGTTCTACATCCTAGTTGGCATTTTATATGTGGAGTAGTTTTAAATACGCTAATGGGACCATTCACTGTTGCTCCATGAACACCATAATTTTTCCATGTCATTAAATATAGATATTTTTCAATATCAATATACATGTTTATATATCTATATCTATTTATTATCTACACTCTCACCTTTGAAAGAGGACATGTTGTTTCACATATAGCTGCAGCATAAATTATTTAACTTAGCTAGTATTGATTAACATTTGGATCATTTCTAAAGTTTCGCTGTTAATTAAAGTGCTACAGAGATTACCCTTTTCCATACTTCTTTGCATAGATGTATGATTTTTCTCAGCAAACATTCCTAGAAGTTAGCTGTCTTGGTCAGCTAAACTTTATAAAGTTTTGCTGTTAATTAGAATGCTACAGAGATTACCCTTTTCCATATTTCCTTGCCTATATTTGATTTCTCTCAGCATAGATTCCTAGAAGTTAGCTGTCTTGGTCAGAGAGCATGAACAGAAACATTATAGCCAGCTGGGTACAGTGGCTCATGCCTGCAATCCCAGCACTTTGGGAGGCTGAGGCAAGTGGATCACTAGGTCAGGAGTTAGAGAGCAGCCTGGCCAAAATAGTGAAACCCCATCTCTACTAGAAATACAAAAATTAGCTGGGCATGGTGGCACACGGTTGTAGTCCCAGCTACTTGGAAGGCTGAGACAGAAGAATCACTTGAACCCAGGAGGTGGGGGTTGTGGTAAGCGGAGATCATGCTACTGCACTCCAGCCTGGGCAACAGAGTGAGACTATCTCAAAAAAAGAAAAACAAAAACAAAAATGTTAACACACAGCACCAGATTGAAAGAGCAGCTTTTGAATCCTAACTCATAGAGTAGATTTATCTGTAACTCAAATCTCATAGGGACTAATGTTGCTTTTCAGCAGCCTAGAGCCAGCGTGAAAGACAAAAGATAAACAGGATAATGAAAGGCAAAAAATTGAGACAGAAGACGTGATTTGGAAGGTTACAAGAGAAGTTGGATAAAGCCAAAAAAGGAGAGGAATTCAGAAAAGAGTTTCCAATGCTGCAGAAGGGTCACAGAGCTCATCTGAGCAAAGGCTACTGCATGAGGCCAACTTTGAGCAGTTTCATACGAGTGTGGGTTCAGATGTTAG